CCCCAAAACCCCAAAACCCCAAAACCCCAAAACCCCTTTTTATTTGATAAGATTGTAACTTAATATAAAATGAGAGTTGTACTACTGATTGTTTTGATAAGTCTACTGATCCCAGCATTACTGGGACAGAATTCAACAGCAACTGATATAGTAGCAGTAGAAGAAGAGGACGTACAGGTTAGGAAAGTGTACATTGAACAGAAGCAAAGTAAGTTTTTTACATCAAGATTTTGGCAATCTTGTTTAGGAACAGAAGAAGTAGATGAAGTCCAGGAAGTTCAGGAAACTCGTGAAGAAGTCGATGAGTAGGTTATTTATTCGATAATTATACTGATTTATTGAGAATTTGTACGAAACCTTTAGAAAGCCCATTAGTAAGAGTGAAATGAAATCCTCTTTAGAATCGGTTACTGGAGCAAAATAATTTGCAAACTTTTAATTTAAGAAATGGATCGCTAATTAAAATCTTGAACAAGTTTCTTAAAGTTCAACCAAGCCCATTAGAGCTGTTAACTTCATTAGATATAGTGCTTTATGGGATTGCCCCATGTAATATCTTCTATGGATCGATCAATCAAGGATCTATGTCACTAGCTTTCTTATTTGGCATTAGGATCTGGAAATATCTAACCTGAATTGCTATAGTATTGAACAAAATCTAATGTCTGCAGAAGGTGAATCATGTCTTAAAGTTCTTGAGAGAATGGCAACATATGAAGCATTAAGCGAAATGAGGTCTGACACACTCCCTGAACTACTAGTTATTGAGAGATTCGTGGATACGCTCCCTGAAAGATGTGGCCATATCTATGGTAAAGTTGGTCGAATAATTGATAGGTAATGAAGAGAAGCGTGCTGCAGCCCATTCTTTGCTAAAGAAATGTAGGTTAATTTGGTTTACATCATAGCTATCAAGAACAAGATATCCTTGCATGAAGGAGCTTTGATCAATGCAATCCCGATGTATAAGTGGTTACTACAGGAGAATCATTTAGTAGATTTTGGAGCTAACTGCTATGAACTAGGAATTCAAAGAACCATCCAAGACGGTCATAAATCAGGAGGGATATCAGGAACAGTTCTTCCTATCTATACGTAAGCTTAATAAATAATCATAATAGTACCAAAAGAGGCGAAATTGACTTTGACTACTCTGAATTTATGTTCAACCAATTAATGGATTTGGAAGATGATGGAATTGGTACTTTCTCATTGAAAGAATACGTAAAGTTCTCACATAAGCTTGCTGACTTTTCTTCCTTCATAAGATCTAACGATGTGGCTACCTTATCTCCAGAAAGCTTAATTGAAAATATGAAAAAGATTAGTAATGAGCCATTTAGGGCGATAATAGTCGAAGAATACGACTCAGGGGATTTAAGTCCTTTTGAAATTAAAAGATTCATGACATACTCTATAAACTCTGAAGATGGTATAGTTGAAGATATTGGTCAAGGAGTCTGTCAGTATAGCAAAGAAATATCACCTGGAATCTTAATAATCCCTGTTCTTTCATTATTCTTCTTATCAGTTATGATTCCTATTATTTTCAGACTAATTGGACTGATCTATATCCCAGACAACTGTCTTGATGGAATGACATATTTGATAGCTCCTTTAGCTTTCATCATTGGACTCGCGATGCCATTTGTCATGAAAATACTATTTGATTTCATCGGGTTTGAGCTGCCTCAAGGTAATGCTGATCTTATGTCTACTCTTCCCATAATAATCTTGCTTGTGGCTATCTTCAGAGTGTCTCCGATGGTTGGCATGGTCACTGTATGCATCAAAGCAAATCTTTATACAGAATATCTAAGAGAGAAATGGTTCCTTTTCATTGTTACAATTGGAGGATCTTTAGGAAATATGACCTGGCTTATCCTTGGAATGCTCATGGAGATGTCCTACAGTGGAACATTAATGTAAGACTAATTCCTTAAATTCTATAGAACTGATTCCTTCAGAACTGCAACTATGAATATTGTCAATCAAGGAATGGAAGGAGAAACTATTGATTACTCCACAATGAGTTCAACGAATCAAGAGGTCATTCAAGAGAACTTCTTTGAAGAGTGCAACATTGGAATGCTATCACATTTGTCTATTTTCTTAATGAATTCATCTATTTTCTTACTCTTATCAGTAAAGTTCTCTATGCATGCCTCAGATATTATGTGCGGGAGGATGTCTAACAAAGCTTTCTTTGCTATCCCTGTGACCTTCATTGGATCTACTATCTCATACGGGTTGTTGTTTTTCAGCTTCACACATTTCAATGGCGTTGATCATCCCAAAACAGGCCAAAAGTCATCAACACTCATTTACTACTGGAACAGAGTGAGCTTCTCAATCGCAATCTTCTACATAGTGGTTGCTCAATTATTGAACTGTAAAAGGACCAAAAGTAGACGTGCAGGCCCTAGCGAGGAAATCCAAGGGGACAAAGTCCCCGTTGACGAAGAAGCTATGCGCTATGTTGCCTCCAAAAGCTACAAGAACATGGTCAAGAAATTAGGTAAGCTACTTCTTAACCCTGTACAGCGAGCAAGTACGGCACTCCCTTCGTGGGCGTCCACAGACAGATAGTCTCAGAGATTTATCAGCAAGCTAGCGAACAGAAGAAAGATGAGTTCTCGATGTATATTATTAATGGAAGAAGAGGTGTTGGCAAGACTAGACTGGTCTATGAGTGATTTAAGAAGGAACAGAGACAGCATGATTTTGTGGTACTGCAGGGAGAGGCTACTGTTAAGGATGATGATAAGTCAAAGGATATGGACTTACAAGAAGAGGAGCAAGCTCAAGGATCGATTAAGGTACAAAAGTGCCAGCCTTTTGAGCCGATAAGAAAGGCTATAGGAAATATAGTGGGGATTAATGTGTTCTCATCTCCTGCTCAGCAGTTGTCAATGATTAAAGGAGCAACAGACTTTGCAGATAGTTTGAATGGGCTTTCATTCTTGTTCTCAGTTGATGGTAAAGAAGATGGAGAAGGAAATGATGAAGCAGATGATCACAAAAGAATGAGCGATGTCCACGTCCTTGCTGAGTCTCTTAGTAAAATTCTTATCAAAGAAGCCAAACGCTACCAGAAAGAAGAAGGCAAGAAGCTTGTTCTCCTATTCGAAGATATGGAATATGCTGACAAAAACAGTCTTGACTTCATCAGAGCACTCGTCAAGATATTTGCTGCTCAGTACAAAAGCATCCCTATGATCATTGTGATCTTGTACAGAGAACTCCCAGGCTCAGACGAAAGCGAAAACAACGAAGTCCGCATCCAAGAAATTGGAACTCTGTGCAACAAAGTGGCCAAGGAAACAGGTGGAGCCAAGCTCATGAAAAACCTTGTCAACAGTCTGCTTGATGCCAAGAAGAAAAAGGAGAACCCGGTGGGTGATGCCAGCAAACATATTGTGTCTAAGAGCTACAAACTAGACAGTCTCACTGAACACAACATCACTCAGCTGTTGGGAGCTCTCTGCTTTGTCGAAGACGAGGTTCCGAGCATTTCGAGGTGGCTCTTCGACAAGACCAAAGGCAAGCTCTACTGGGTCTCAGTGTGTCTGCAGAATCTGTTCATCGAACGATACGTCGAGGCATCAGTCAGAGGGTGGAAGATCGCTTCTGGCAAAAGCCTCAGAGAAATTGCCATTCCGAACAAGATGGCTCAGGCTCTTGAAACCAAGTTCAGAAAGATGGAGCCTTCCACTCTCAAGTTGCTCCAGGTTGCAGCCGAGTGAGGCATGAACTTCAACAGCAACTTGATTGCAAGAATAGCCGGAGATGAGCGCTTCCAAGTGATCTATGAATTGAACAGAATTCAGGAAGAACACAACATTGTCACTGAAAACAAGGCTTCATCAAAGCGCAATGACCAAGGCAACGACACGCTCAGCGGCGAGTTCGTGTTCACTTCAGTAGTCTATGTCGACGCTATGAGATCGATGACCAGGAACTACGGCAACAACTTGTTGTTTGCAAAGCAGGTTCAGCTCAAGATCTTCGACACACTGTACGAGAATGTGAACATGTCACAGCGATTCCTGAACTCGTTCTTCTTTTACCTTGGTAAACATGACTTCGAAGAAGACCAAGGCGAACTCAAGTTTACCCTAGAGCAAAGATGGGGTAATGCTTTCATCGAAATCGTCAACTTCAGAAAGTTACCATTGGAGTTCAAGTTCAGACTGGCTGAACATGCCAAAGACTCCAGTCTTGAGAGACCCTTCGAAGCCTTGATTGCTTTCACAATGGCGGCTCTGACAGCCAAAGACTTGTGGGATATTCCTAACATCGTGAAGTACTCGAGTCTGGCCATCCAATCAGCAAAGACCATTCTGGTGAATGAAGACGAAATTGATGAGTTGTACGAGTGGCTGAACAAGATTGGAAGGTCAGGGTTTGCAGGCGAGGAAGACATACAGAGATACGTGAAGCACCTTCTCAGTGAACTATTGATTATTGAATCTCAGAACCTTCTTGATCTCTCTCCAAAAGAAAATTCTCTCGGTATAGTCAAAAAGCTAGATACTCTTGAAGAAAGTATGGGTGGACTTCCACCAAAAGCTAAAGTCATCAGAGCTCTCGCTTATGTGTATTTGGGGAAATTAAATACCTCCAGGAAGCTTTCCCGAGAGATTTATGAAGACGAATTTACAAGCAAATTGTACAAGTCAGAAGCTTGTTATTCTGCCTGCTTTGCTGGTTATAATGATACCAAGGAGGAAGCTTGGAAAGAAGCTATTGAAATATCTCAGAGAGGGGCAGATACCATGCTTGAATTCATGAAGGAAGAGAAAAGTATCTTAAATTTTCTAATCTTTAGAACTGATGAAATCAAGAAAAATCAGACAACAAGTCAAAGAAATCATGGGAAATCTGTACTTAAAACATCTAAATATATAGATTCATGACTAAAGGAATGATTTATCAGTTCAAAATCAGGAACTTGAAAGAATGCAGAGAATGTTACGACGATGCTCTCACATACAAGACTAAGATAAATGATGTTCTTGGAATGGCTAAAACCAATGGCTTGCTTGGTCTTCTTCTCTACAGGTAATTATTTTTCTTGACCTTATAGCATTGCATCTGATTTAAAGAAGAGAAATAGCGGAGAGCATACCTACTCAACCAACAATGACTTGAAGAAGGCAAAAGAATATTATAATGAGTACTACAAACTTGCTTCAAAGATTGAAAATTCTGAAGGCCTCATAGAAGCTCCTAAGGGTCTTGGCAACTGTAATGTTGAGCTTGGTGATTTCGATGAAGCTATTAGATGCTATGAAAGATCTGCTCAAAGATCAATTGAATACAAGAGCCTCCTCGGAAGAGTCGAGGCTTATTGCCAACTGATCAAAACCTTTATTCTTAAAGGAATCGACGATGATGAAAGATATAAGAAGTATCTTGACCAAGTCATCAGAATTTGCCAAGATAATCCTCAAAATGAGCAGATTAATGAATTGAGAAAGGGCTTAATGGACTTCATAGACGCCCAGAAAGCCAAGAATGAAAGAATTGAAGAGAATAAGTTCACAAAGTTTGATGATTAAGTAAAAACTTATTCAAATTCGGTTTTATAATAAGGGGTTTTGGGGTTTTGGGGTTTTGGGGTTTTGGGG